ATAGCCTAGACTTAACTGACATATATAGAATATATCAACCATCATCATGTGGATACACGTTCTTCTCAGCAGCACATGGATCCTTCTCAAAGATAGACCATACATTATGCCACAGGGCAACCCTCAGTAAATATAAAGGTGTGGAGATAATACCATGTATCTTAAATGATCATAATGGAATGAAACTGGAAATCAATGATAAAAGAAGGAAGGAAAAATCCTGCATCACCTGGAAAATGAACAATATGTTACTGAATGATCAATGGGTTACAGAAGACATAAAGGAGGAAATCAAAAAATTCTTAGAGAGAAATGAAAATACAGACACAACATATCAGAATCTATGGGACACAATGAAAGCAGTTTTAAGAGGGAAATTCATTGCCTGGAGTTCATTCCTCAAAAAAAGAAAAAAACCAACAAATAAATGAGCTCACACTTCATCTCAAAACCCTAGAAAAGGAAGAGCAAAACAACAGCAAATGTAGCAGAAGGCAAGAAATAATTAAAATCAGAGCAGAAATCAACCAAATTGAAACAAAAGAAACCATTGAAAAAATTGATAAAACTAAAAGTTGGTTCTTCGAAAAAATAAATAAGATCCACAGACCCTTAGCCATGCTAACGATGAGAAGAAGAGAGAGAACTCAAATTACTAACATACGGGATGAAAAACGCAAAATCACAACAGACACTACAGAAATTCAGAAGATATTTAGAAATTATTTTGAAACCCTATATTCCAATAAAATAGAAGATAGTGAAGATATCGATAAATTTCTTAAATCATATGATTTGCCCAGATTGAGTCAGGAAGATACACACAATTTAAACAGACCAATAACAAAGGAGGAAATAGAAGAAGCCATCAAAAGACTACCAACTAAGAAAAGCCCTGGACTGGATGGGTATACAGCAGAGTTTTACAAAACCTTTGAAGAAGAATTAATACCAATACTTTTCAAGTTATTTCAGGAAATAGAAAAAGAAGGAGCTCTTCCAAATTCATTCTATGAGACCAACATCACACTGATTTCAAAACCAGACAAAGACACTTCAAAGAAAGAAAACTACAGACCAATATCTCTAATGAACCTAGATGCAAAAATCCTCAATAAAATTCTGGCGAATCGGATACAAAAGCATATTAAAAAAATTGTGCACCATGATCAAGTAGGATTCATCCCTGGGATGCAAGGCTGGATCAATATACGGAAATCAATAAATGTTATTCACCACATCAATAGACTTAAAGATAAGAACCACATGATCATCTCAATAGACGCAGAAAAAGCATTCGACAAAGTACAGCATCCCTTTATGTTCAAAACACCAGAAAAACTAGGGATAACAGGAACTTACCTCAACATTGTAAAAGCTATCTATGCTAAGCCTCAGGCTAGCATCATTCTAAATGGAGAAAAACTGAAGGCATTCCCTCTGAAATCTGGAACAAGACAGGGATGCCCTCTCTCACCACGTCTATTCAACATAGTTCTCAAAATACTGGCCAGAGCAATTAGACAGACAAAAGAAATTAAAGGCATAAAAATAGGAAAAGAAGACCTTAAATTATCACTATTTGCAGAAGACATGATTCTATACCTAGAAGACCCAAAAGGGTCTACAAAGAAACTACTAGAACTAATAAATGAATTCAGCAAAGTGGCAGGATATAAAATCAACACGCATAAATCAAAGGCATTTCTGTATATCAGCGACAAAACTTCTGAAACGGAAATGAGGAAAAACACCCCATTCACAATATCCTCAAAAAAAAAAAAAAAAGTAAAATACTTGGGAATCAACCTAACAAAAGAGGTGAAAGACTTATACAATGAAAACTACAGAACCCTAAAGAGAGAAATAGAAGAAGATCTTAGAAGATGGAAAAATATACCCTGTTCATAGATAGGCAAAACTAACATCATCAAAATGGTGATATTACCAAAAGTTCTCTATAGGTTTAATGCAATGCCAATCAAAATCCCAACGGCATTTCTTGTAGAAATAGAGAAAATAATCATGAAATTCATATGGAAAAATAAAAGACCCAGAATAGCAAAAGCAATTCTAAGCAGGAAGTGTGAATCAGGCGGTATAGCGATACCAGACTTCAAACTATACTACAGAGCAATAGTAACAAAAACAGCAGGGTACTGGTACCAAAACAGGCGGGTGGACCAATGGTACAGAATAGAGGACACAGAGACCAATCCACAAAATTACAACTATCTTATATTTGATAAAGGTGCTAAAAGCATGCAATGGAGGAAGGATAGCATCTTCAACAAATGGTGCTGGGAAAACTGGAAATCCATATGCAACAAAATGAAACTGAATCCCTTTCTCTCGCCATGCCCAAAAGTTAACTCAAAATGGATCAAGGAGCTTGATATCAAATCAGAGACACGGAGTCTGATAGAAGAAAAAGTTGGCTCCGATCTACATATTGTGAGGTCGGGCTCCAAGTTCCTTAATAGGACACCCATAGCACAAGAGTTAATAACAAGAATCAACAAATGGGACTTATTTAAACTAAAAAGTTTTTTCTCAGCAAGAGAAACAATAAGAGAAGTAAATAGGGAGCCTACATCCTGGGAACAAATTTTTACTCCTCACACTTCAGATAGAGCCCTAATATCCAGAGTATACAAAGAACTCAAAAAACTAAACAATAAGATAAAAAATAACCCAATCAACAAATGGGCCAAGGACCTGAACAGACACTTCTCAGAGGAGGACATACAATCAATCAACAAGTACATGAAAAAATGCTCACCATCTCTAGCACTCAGAGAAATGCAAATCAAAACCACCCTAAGATACCATCTCACTCCAGTAAGATTGGCAGCCATTATGAAGTCAAACAACAAGTGCTGGCGAGGATGTGGGGAAAAGGGTACACTTGTGCATTGCTGGTGAGACTGCAAATTGGTGCGGCCAATTTGGAAAGCAGTACGGAGATTCCTGGGAAAGCTGGGAATGGAACCACCATTTGACCAAGCTATTGCCCTTCTTGGACTATTCCCTGAAGACCTTAAAAGAGCGTACTATAGGGAAACTGCCACATCGATGTTCATAGCAGCACAATTCACAATAGCTAGACTGTGGAACCAATCTAGATGCCCTTCAATAGATGAATGGATAAAAAAATGTGGCATTTATACACAATGGAGTACTACTCAGCACTAAAAAATGACAAAATCATGGCATTTTCAGGGAAATGGATGGCACTAGAGCAGATTATGCTAAGTGAAGCTAGCCAATCCCTAAAAAACAAATGCCAAATGTCATCTTTGCTATAAGGAGAGCAACTAAGAACAGAGCAGGGAGGAAAAGCATGAGAAGAAGATTAACATTAAACAGGGACGAGAGATGGGAGGGAAAAGGAGAGAGAAGGGAAATTGCATGGAAATGGAAGGAGACCCTCATCGTTATACAGAATTACATATAAAAGGGAAAGGGGGAAAAAACAAGGGAGAGAAATGAAGTACAGTAGATGGGGTAGAGAGAGAAGATGGGAGGGGAGTGGAGGGGTGGGGGGATAGTAGAGAATAGGAAAGGCAACAGAATACAACAGATGTTTTTAGTATGTAAAAACGTGGATGTGTAACCAATGTGATTCTGCAATCTGTATACAGGGGAAAAATGGGAGTTCATAACCCTCTTGAATCAAATGTATGAAATATGATATACCAAGAGCTATGTAATGTTTTGAACAACTAATAAAAAAATGTATTTGGACACAAAAAAAGAATAAATTCTATAATTTCATTTATATAAAATCTCTAAAACAGGCTAATCCCTGGAGACAGGAAGCAGATTAGTGATTGCCAGGCAATGCAGGCAGAGGGGTGGGAGGAATGCAGAGTCATTACTTAATGGGTTCAGGGTGTTCTGGGGTGATGAAGAAGTTGTGGGACTAGACACAGATAGTGGCTGGTCAACATTGTGAATGAACTAAATGCTACTGAATTTTTATGTTTAAATGGTTGATTTTATGTTGTGTGAATTTCACTTTGTGAGACAAACACTTAATACGTTTGCTTCCAACATTCCCCAAACACAACTAAAAGATGGATAAGTTACAAACTGACAAATCTAAGTGAAACAAATACCAACAAATCAGCTCAGTAAGAACCACACAAATGAAATCACTATAGAACAGACAGAAAGGACACAACACATTTTCAATGAAAAGGAAGAATATTTGAAGATATGTTCAACCTCACTAGTCATCAGATCCATCCATTGTTAGGGTCTGTAAACAAGTCAAGATGGCGCCTGGCATTTTCCCAGAGGGAGTGGTTTGTGAAGTAATGCCAGCGAGCCATTAAGTGTGGAGATTCCTTATTGGTTGACTGCTGTATCTAGTTTATGTTAATTAAGATAAGCTGTGTGGAATGTATATATACCCTTCCTGTCGTACAATAAATGGCTCCCACTCTTGCTCTATCAATCTACACAAGTTCCTCGACACCCTCCGGTTATTTTGCTTCAGCCAGGCTGCGGCAATCCATCAAAGTGGCAGGATACCATATCACAGGCATTCAACTGACCAGAATTTTAAAATTTGGTAGCATAAGCATTGACCCAGGGTATCAATCTCATTATTAGTGGGAATATAAATTGATCTAACCGCTCTGGAAAAATTAAACATCCACACACCATGCAATTTTGCAATTTCTCTAAGATATATACTGGCTTGTGTACCACTGGAGATACAATGAATGTGTTCACAGAAGAGCTATTATGATAGGGAAAGCCGACAAACAATTCATATGAATGCATGATGAAGAAGCTGAGATACAGCTACACAAAGAGCACTTCTCAGTAGTCAAATGGATAACTGCACGTACAACAACAGGGATGAGTTCCAGTTGTGTACATACTTACTACATAACACCAAGTGAAACACTCAAAATATTACGGTTTTTTTCTTAGCGTGTGTGTGTGTGTGTGTGTGTGTGTTTTCTATCCCAGTTTGGGATAGAATGTTCTATGGAAAAGCCCTTTGTGTGTCCCCTTCTCTTGCTCTGTCTTTGGGTGTGGACTTCCTAGATGTCAGTCAACCTGCTGACAGCAGACATCACAAAGCTAGATTCCACCCCATGAAACCTGACCCTTTGCCTCATTTGAATGGTTCTCTTCAATAAAAGGGTTCAGCACTTGCTCATTCTCTTTCTGTGGATCCTTAAGGTCAGAGGAGCCGTCACAGGACCCCAAAGATAAAGGTATCTCTGTCTCTTGTATAGTTATTTTGTGCAACCTAGTTCACCTGGAGTGACCCTGAGTGTTTTAGTAGTAAGGAATGTGACATTCATACACATACACACACACACACACACATATATATATATATATATAATTTACCATTAAATATGTGCTCTGAAACTATCTAAAAAGGAAATTAAAGGAAAAATGTCAGCAGATTCAGGACAGTGGTTCCTGGGTGGGAGAAGGCAGTGGATGGGATGGTTCTCTTACTCTTTTTTTGTGTGTGTACTGAGGATTTAACCCAGGGATGCTTTACCACCAAGCTATACCCCCATCCCTTTTTAAAAATTTTGAGACAGGGTCTAGATGAGTTGAATTTGCAATCCACCTGCCTCAGACTCCCAAGTCCTGGGATTACAGATGGGTGCCACTGCACTTAGCTGATTCTTATTTTCTTGTCAGGTGACAGATTTAGGATGATGGGTGTCAACAACCATAGAGGGATGAACAGAGACAGAATAGAGAGATGCAGATATTAGAAAGGGCCAAGACCACACATGAACCAATGATAAGACAAACTTTTTGTTATCATCAATGACTAGTCCAATTCTGCATACTTGAGGTTCAAAATAAAAAGCAATTTTAAGAGATGATTAAAAAAGATGAATTACTGGGCTGGGATTGTGGCTCAGCAGTAGAGCACTTACCTAGCACAGGTGGGTCATGGGTTCGATTCTCAGCACCACATAAAAATAAAGGCATTGTGTTGTGTCCATCTACAAAAAATTTTTTTAAAAAAGATTCTCTCTCTCTCAAAAAAAAAAGATGAATTACTGATTAAGACATTTAAAATATACAGAATTGCATTTATAAAACACAACAGATCATTAAGCAGGATACATCAAATTTTAATTCTTTAGGGACATCTCAAAGAAATGGAACTATACCTTCACCAGAATATTAAAATTTTAAAAAGTTCAAGCTGCCTAACCTCTTCTTGAATATACAGTAATAGTAAGGGAGATGCTCTTAAATTATTCATGGAATATTGAAGAAACTTGGAATTTCCTTCTAGTGTAAATCCATACTAATGAGGAGTGTTAGACCTTCAAAATTAAGCAGAGATAAGCACATAAATAGCTGTAAAACAAGATGCACCACAGGAAATTAGTACAAAGTAAATGAAAATATTCATGTAATAAGTTACTATGAAAAAATTACTTTCCTATTAAAAAACCCTAGCACTTTTATGGTTCAGATTCCTTGGCACTATGAAATGCATATTTTTTAATTAACAAAGTTTAAAATAAACAAAGATGACAGTAACATAGAAATGTCTCTTAAAAATTCTATTAGAGTGGATTCTATCTCCTTGAAGTTTCCTTAATAACAAAGCCAACAGAGAAACTGTATCAAGTTGGAAATGAAGCAAATTAAAAACCTTCACTACATCTTTAAAGAATATCTGAAATGACCATTAGCAAGTGTAGGGAAAATTTGATAGAAAAAATTCATAAAGCAATCCTTACCCAAAAAAGTAAGCCTGTGGAACGTTGGAAAAGAAGGATGGAAATTTTCCAAAAGACTCAGTGGGGAGCCCCCGCCCCCCTTTTCAGTGCCTGTCACAGTGTTGTCAAGGAGAGATGCTGCTGAGGTCCCTGGGGTTTTACTTTTGTCTTCTTTGGTCTAGTACACTGGAAAATGAATTCTAACGTGTTTGTTTTAAATGCAGTGATATGGAGATTTTTAACCTCCTTCTCTTTGTGCAAATGCTCTGTGATATGTACATTATAAGCATGCACATACAGACATATATGAGCAAACACTCATTCACCATGAAAACTATGTAGCACATTTAGAAACAAGGGAACATACTGAGGATGCTACCTGAGAAAGCATAACACAAAACAATACATATAGTTACAAAATATGTCTCTCTATCCTGGAAATAGAAGAGGCTAAAATACAAAAAGTTGCTGTGTTAGAGAAATAGGAGGGTTCAGAATGACTGTTATCTTTCAAAACAACTTTGATGGGATTGTATACCGTCATTTCAATATAAATTTGAAAAAAGTGTTTAGGAAAAAATAAAAACAAAAGTCATTCTCATTACCCACATGTTGAGGGAGTTGGATACAAAATTCTCTGCAGAATTTCTCAATATTCTAATTCCCCAATTCTACCCCTTACCTGTGGCTTTGCTTTGTGTGATTTTAGTTACCCATGGTTCAAAAAGATTATATGGAAAATTCCAAAAATAAACAATTAATAAATTTTAAACTGCACATCATTCTGAGTAGCACTATGAAATCTCATGATATCCTGTTTTGTCCTTCTAAGGAGGTACATCATACCATTATCCAGCGTATCTATGCTATCTATGTTATCCACCTGAAGTCACTTAGTAGCCATCTCAGTTGTGAGATCTGCTGTCCCAGTACTGCAGTGCGCCTACTGAGTTTAGTAGCACTCACTGTTTCAGGTATCACTGGGGGTCATGCACATCTCTCTTGTGGAGAAGGATGGACTGCACTATTTTTCCTCTGTTCAGCATTCTCATTTGCTTAAGAGAATGCTTTGAAATTTTTTCTGTAAAAATAAAACTCCCAAGCTCCCAATTAGTTGTCAATGATCTGCCTTTCTTACCAGCTTTGCATATCATGGAATCAAATAATTTAGAGATGATTGAGCCTCTTCCTCAGTTTGCACCATTTGCTGTAAGGAAAGCAGGGAATCACGCCGATGATGCTCTTGGCACGAGAGGTCTTCCATGTGTACACCATAATCAGGAGCTCCACGAAGCAGGTGTTCACATCCCTGTAACCCAGGCACAGAAAATCCCATTGAGGGGTGTGAGACTAAAGATTTCCTTCCTGACCTGGGGATGTAGCTCACTAGTAGAGCATGCTTAACATGCTTGAGGCCCTGGGTTCCATCCCCAACACCAAAATAATAACATTATTGTCTCCATGTTCCAAGACTAAGGTGCAAGTTGCAGAAACCAGTGATGTCTTCTCTTCTCATATCTCCATGAGCCCTCCCCACATTTCCTCTGAATTGATGACTCTAGTTTCTTTTTCCCCTGGAGACCAGTGTTGTTCAGCAGGAAAGAGGCAATGGGGATTAGAGTCAATTTTGGAGTATTTCTGGTGTGCAAAGTTCCTCTCTGACTAATGGCATAACACAGGCCGAATGCAGGGTGCAGATGCTCCTGGTGGTAGGCTCCCATGGAAGCTGTCTTCTGACATAGTACTGGTCTCAGAGATTTCTCAAAAATCTCTTACACACTACTCCCCACCCACTCCTGCTGCCTGGAAGATCTTGCTCCAACAACCCTCCCTCCCTGCTTGCACTATCATCTGTCACACTCCCCTGGCTCATACTCATCAGCTTGTAAATATTCAGATCCTTCTTCCATTAAAAACTACGATCCATAACCACCTTCTCTGAAGCCCCATCTCTTTGCTCCCCTTTGCAGTACATCTCAGGATAGGTGTCTACCCTCACTGTCTCTGACTCAGACATTCTCATTCTCTCCCAAACACATTCCAAAGAAGCTTTGGTCCCCAAAACTCTTCTTGTGATAATAGAAGCAAATGTGACTCCATTTTCTTTTATGACTTCATCCTGTAAAACAACCATGCCAAGTAGAAGGGTCATGACTGGGGCAAGATGTTCTTTTCCTTTTGCTATAGAAACCTTTAAGAACACAGAACTACCTAACGGGGCATTGTTTCTGTAACTAGGGTAATGGGGCTCTGTTTCTGTAAATGGGGTGATTGGGCTAACTGGGATTGGTTAGGTTTCCCACCGCTTGACTGCACTATCCCGCTTCTGTAACCTGGCTTGCTTGCATTGGCTAGACCCCCGAACATCCCTTTTGCGGTTTTCAGGCTTATAAGGAGCGCCCTTGCAATTGTTCGGGGCTGATCGGGGGAACAGCTTTATGTTCTGGTCAGTCGCCACCACTGTGCTTCAATAAAGGCTTGATTCGATTATAGGTGAGTAGTCTGGAAGTCAGTTTATGAAACCCCGGGTCGAAGCTTTAACTGTAACATTCTCACCAAGATCGATGGCCTCTAAGTGGTTAAATGCACCAGTCAACACTCAGTCCTATTTCTGGGCCCCTCAGCAGTATCTGCTGCAGCTGCTCACCCCTGTCCCTTCAGATGCTTAATGCAATCACTTCCAGGACACCCCTCTCTGGTCTCCCCATGCCTTCCTTGTTTCTTCTGCTGGTTTCCCTTTGCCTGACCTCCACCTAAGACTTTCATTTATCTTTTCCTGTCTCCCCTCATCCCTTGAGCTTCTCATCCGATTTCATGGCTTTGTAAATGTTGGTGACTCTCACATTCCTACCTCCAGCCATGCACCTCTGAACTCAGATCTGAAAGTCCCACAGGTGCTTGATGGTTCCACTGGAATGTGTATCAAGGCATCTCAGGACTTAACCTACCCTAAAAGAAACTGTTCTTTTTCCCAAAAATAAAAACCTACTTCACCAGAAAACCTGTGCCAGCTCAATTACTGGCAACACTCTTCCTCTGGGTAATTCAGGACAGAACTTCTTAGAGCTCTCTTCTTTTCCAGATGGTTTTTGCATCTCACAACTGCCCCTACATCTGGGTGATGTCACCCCATTAGATTATAATGGCCTGACCCTCCTGGAATATCCCTGAAGTCCATGCTCCATGCAGAGAAACCTGCCCTTCAAGTGAAGTTAGACGGCATAGGCCTCTGCTCAAGACCATGAGATAGCCTCCTCTTCTGCCCATGGCCAAAGCCCAAGGTCTCACAGTGGGCCACTAGCACCCTGGCACAGTACAGCCCTGGGAAGAGGAGAGTGGCACATGCTACCAAGACTTGGTGCCCTCATGCCCAGATCTACTGGGGACCATGAAGGTCCCTGCAGAAGAGGAAGCAAGGGCACCTGATAAAGGCCAGCCACAGCCACACTCTCTGTTTCTCATAGCATATACACTCTCCCTGATTTGGGAAGCAATGGCATTTCCTTGCCACTCCTCTTTCTGGAGCACATAAGAGTTTTGTGACACCATCCTGAGGAAGCAAAAATCAAGGCAGAGATATTAAAAGTCTAGATGAAAGTATGTGTGTTCCACAACTAAATTCTTGGGAAATTTGGCTTTTCTTCCCTTTCTTTGCTGTTTATCATATTTATTTTATACGTGTATGTGTATGTGTATGTATATACCTACATCTATTACTAAATTTGATAGGCATCAATTTTCAGACTCTGAGCTAAAAAATGATGCACTATCCGAACTGATTTCTAGACATTAAAAAATGTCTGAGGCCTCAGTTCCTGTGTTAAAAAGCAGGAACTCAGGGCTGGGGTTGTAGCTCAGTGGAAGAGTGCTTGCCTAGCATGGGTTCGATTCTCAGCACCACATATAAGTAAATAAAGTTCTATCAACAACTAAACAAATTTTTAAAAAGGAGAGAGAGAAACTCAGAAAATGTGGCATTAAAAAGTGGTTAAAATTTAGGGCTTATATCCCATCTTAGCAGGGGAAGGGGAAGACGACAAAGAACTCTTAAAAGAAATGACTTTTAGGAAAGATAAGCAGTCCCTCTAGAGAACGGACGGGGATAGGATATAGTTTTGTGACAATTAGTATGACTTCTTATCTTGGTGAGATTTCTTCTGTAGCCTCAAGATAGAAGTCAACCTCCCTGGTTGGAACTCCCAAACTCTAGGAAAGACATTTATGACATGTGAATTCTTTTGTGAAGTTTTGCTTTTATGCAGATAAGGAGAATTGAGAAAAAGTTCTCCTCCTTTATTTACTATTTCTCAAATGTCCTCAGATCAAAATAATCCCTATGCCATTGTGGGATATCTTCTATCCCTTATAGGGACAGGACTGGGTAGGACTAACAATGGCAGCTTCAAGCTGGAGGGACCTGCCACTCTCTAGCCACCTATAGCCCACTCTGCCTGGCAAAGCTGAGACATTTGGGGCCCCTGCTCCTTATCAGAGTTCGGAACGAATAACCTGGAGCCATCGCACCTCTCCCCTCCTACCCAGGACAGTGTGGTTGCTACAGGCTACCCCAGGGGGACCTTATTCTAGGGCAACTTAGCTGGAATGGGGGGCTACTATTGGGCTGGGAAGCCTAGGACTGAAGGACTAGCCAGGGATTTAAAAGAAAAAGGAAAAAATAATCATTCTGAGTGGAAAATTTCCATTCAGAGAGGTATCTAGGGACATCTGGGGACAAATGCACAGTAGAAAGCAGGTCTTCATGTGATCATCCTCTCTTCCACAATGGCTCTTCATTCAGAATGGCACAGAAACCCTCATTACACTGAATTCTGTACAACCAGCTTACACATCGCTGACCTCCACAATTTCTAGAACATATGTGTGTCAAATGTTACACTAGGTTGGGATATATGCTCTTTCAGTACAGTCTTTAATCTTCTTAGCTCCTTTACCTTATAAGTGGGGACCATGTTTAAATTATCTGCAATAAAGTCTTTAAGAAAATTCCCTTCCTATAGCCTGTTTTGTTTGTTTGTTTTTTGTTTCTTTGAGAAGCTAGAGTAGAAATGCTTCCCTGCAGGCCTTACACAATCCTGACTATGGACTATTAGGAACTTCATGGATTCTGTCATCATTTGAAGTGTCTATTCTAACACTTGATCTAAACTTTTATGACAACCCATTGAAGCAGGTAGGAGAATTAAGCCCAATTTAGAAATGGGGGAAGTTTACAGATGAACAAACTTAATGAAGGTTGCTTGGCATCTCAGCAGCAGACAGAATCTGGTCTCGGCTTAATTTCTAGGAACCGGTAGTATACAACACTAGTTGTACATCCCTGCTGAATTCCACCTACAGTGAGCAGAAATGGACAAATACCCAAATTTTGAAAAATGACTATTGCAAACATGCCTTGTTTAGAAGATACTTCTTATCAAATGCTAAAGAAGGAATACAAAACTTTGATGTAGTATTTCCAACTCTTGGAATTTACCCCAAGGAAACAAGGACAAAACTCTATGCTTAGTGATGGTAACTGCAAGATTTTTTTTTTTTAAGAGCAGAAATTCTGGATATATATGCGAAGGTTCCACACTGGGGTCATCAAGTACAATTGAGACTATACACTTAACATAATAAATATTCAATACTATATAAGCAAAGCTGGGTAACAAAGGTACAGACCAGGGCAGGGAAAGAATAAGGCCAAAAAAGGTATTCTTTTGCGGGGGTGGGGGGAAGGGTCAATAATGTATGTAAATTATTTTTATTTGGGTATTTAAATTCTTTTTAAAAAATTACAGCTCATGCTTCCTAATGCCCCAAAGTCCCATTCCACATTTCCATATTCGTTTACACACTCTAATCACCAAAATTGAGCCAACATTAAAATTAAAAAATAAATCCTTATCATCAATATACAATATTCGGGGGTAAAACAAGTAGAACAGTAGTTTAGAAAGCACATCTAGGCGCTCCCTCAACCTCTGCGGGGTTGAGTATGGAGTGGAATAAAACCACTCTTTTGTAGGAAAACGTCCACGACTAGCAAGACCAAGCAAATTAAAACTCAGGGCTGCGCGTACATTAGGGATGGGAGATGAGATCCCCTGCTGGCTGGGGACTTGCTTTCTGAAGGGCTCTGCCGCAGGTCCCACAATCAGAAATTGTCTCTCCCAGGCGCCTACAGCTGGCGGGGACCCCGGGGCCATGCGGTAGGTCCCGGTCCCCGCCAGCCCACTCAAGAAGGAAGGAGGGAGAGAGAGAGGGGCTCTCTGGGGGCGCGAGGCTGGAGTCTCCCTCGGTACCCGCGGCCTCCCCCGCGGGTCCCGGACCCTTCAAGCCGCGGCGCTTCCCACCGCGTGCACCTGCCGGTAACGCCAGAGCCCGCCAATCCCCACCGCCACTCGCCGCTGGCTCCCGCCCGCCTGCCTGCCCCCGACCCCAGTCCCACCCCCGGCCCCAGCCCCGGCCCCAGCCCTGGCCCCAGCCCCAACTCACCCTCCGCTGTGGGAGGAAGAAACCGCGGACCCCCGGGCGGCGTCTCTAGGACCAAATCGGTAGCTTCATCCCCAAAACGGCAACCGCCGCGCTTGAGAGGCCCGGATTTCGTGGGGCGGGGCCAGAGGACTCACGTGGCTCGGGCTTGGGGCGTGGCCTACCCGAGGGGAGGAGCGGATCTGAGGGTCCAGTCGGCAGGGGTGGGACCAGGTAGCGGGACTCGCGGGGAAGGAAATGAGAACAAGAGCCGGGACCTCACTCCAGGCGGCGGTGGCGCTCCCAGTGGTCCAGCACCGGGCCTGGGTGATGAGGAGGATCAGCAGGGCCTGGCCAGTGCGGAACCCGCGGGCCTCGCTAACAGGTCAAGGGTCGGGGCGGGGTGCGGCTCCCCCACCGGCCAGCCCAGCTCCTGTCATTCTCTCCAGCCGCGGGTTAAACGTCCCATGGCCCTGGGCTCGGCGGGCATCGGACCCCAGCCGCTGGGGAAACAAGGAGTATGCGGAGCTCATAAAAATTGTAATGCATTCCGCTGTTATATATATATTAAAAAAAAATCGGTGGACAAAGTGGTGCTGCACCGGCCCTTCTATCTGGCGATTGAAGGGTGCCTGTGTCTGACAGGCCATCACCTCATCTGTCCTCTCCTCATGACAACGCAGAGCAGCTGTGACTCCTCACAGCTCCTCCTTTCAAACATCCTCACTGTCGACAAGCGAATTGTTGGATCTCTGGGTTCCATCACCATAAAACATAAAGATTTTCCAATTATTTAGTTGCAAAGTCCTGGAATGGAGGAATGTTTAAATATAGCCAGTTCCACTGAGGCATTATCTACCTTGGACTCCGATGTACCCTTGGACTCCGATGTACCTTTCTTCTACGGGTCCACGTTTGAGGTGATACAAGAGGGCTGGCATTCCTTCCTTCCTTCTTGAGCAAGAGTTTGAATCCTATTCTTCAGCTACCAGTGAGTGAAGGCTAAGCTATGTCAATCAGCCCTTGTTATCCACCAGTTGTCATAGTGCCCAAATCCATTGATGATGAAACTTACAAAGGTAGCTACATTTCGACATGCAGGGTACTTTCCAGTATTCAGCTTTCTCGTTTTTAAAAATCGAATGGTAATTATATGAAATGGTTAGCCACTCACTGGCACAAATGGGGGAAGGTGCAAGGAAGAGGAGGTGATGGTTCATGCTACCTTCAGGGCAGAAAGCATGGCTACATCATTGATACTCAAGTCTAAATGTGACTCAGCAAGCAAGAGCCAAAGGAGGCGTTCCCCCTTGCTGTCCATATCTCCATGTAGTATGAAATGTCTTCGTTTTGAAAAAGAAAAAAAAAAAAACAGCCTCACTTTTTGATAGATCCTCAGAATTTTTTGTGTTGGTTTGGGCAGCTGACCTTTTTGTTTTCCCTTATTTTTATCTCAAGGCTACATATGAAAAAAGAGCCCTTTTCTTCTCAACTAATGGGATGATAAGGAGAATCATCTGGAGATTTCCTTGGTTGTTCTTTAGAAGCAACTTCCACTGCTTATGCTGATCAGCTTCAGGGCTTTCACGGATGGAAACTTGGAAGGGAGTTGTTGTTAGGCTTGATCGTGGGAAACTTGTGAGCCATCAGTTGACACCTGTCTTCTGATGAATACTTGATTTGTGAACCAGAGACAGTAATAGCCTAGTATTTCCAATTTCTTTTTCTTTCTCCTTTGAGACAGCAGTCATCACTGTTTTGACAAGTTTGTAGGTTTTATTTGGGGGGGAGGCAGTGCAGGATATTGAACTCAGGGGCATTCAACCCCTGAGCCACATCCCCAGCCCTATTTTGTATTTCATTTAGAGACAGAATCTTGCTGAGTTGCTTATTGCCTCACTTTTGCTGAGGCTGGCTTTGTACTCATCATTCTCCTGCCTCTGCCTTTCCAGCCAATAGAATTATAGACATGTTTGAGTTTTAATGTTAACTTATAAATAGGAATTAACCAAACCTCAAATCTGTTTTCAAGTTGTAAAAAATAAACTTTGGTCTCAGTGCACTTTCAAAAGGGTTATTTAATAATGTAAATATTATAGTTTCCCCAAACTCAAGAACCCTGTGAAGAACAAGTGCATTGAGTTGGGGTCATAGCTCAGTGGTAGAGTGTTTGCCTAGCATGTGTGAAGCGCTGGGTTCAATTCTCAACACCACATATAAATAAATTAATTAAATAAATAAAGGTCCATTGACAACTAAAAGAAAAAAAAATTTTTAAAAGAACAAGTGTATTGTCACTATAGTTTGAACACTGTTTCTAGCAATACTATTAAGTTACCTCCCTCGGGTGAGGAGAATAAATAACAATGGATATACCCATGAAAAAATACTTGTTAAGCATTAGGTCTGGATGAATGTGGCTTTAAGAACTTTAATGAAAAGGTTGGTGACAGAGTTAGTAAGCAGGCAGATGCCTTATAGGAGCAAATTGCAATCAAGTGAGAGGGGATCAGTTTGTGTATAACAGTGTATAACATCTCTGTTATAACAGAGATGATAACAGTCATCTCTGTTCATTTGTAGCAAAGGTTGGTTTACAGTTGGGGAATGTTTCCTAAAGCAGGTCCCCCCAAAGACCATTTTCAAAAATATGAAGGACCACAACCCTTTTTCAGCAACACCAAGGATCCTGAGATTTAAGCTAATAATTTTTTGAAAATCAGAAGAATATAATTACTTGGTTATATAAGAAACCTTCTGGTAATTATTTGATTAAAAGTTTTGTTTTTAATATTAAATGGGAAGAAAAGCAGAAATAATAAAATCCATGCCTTTAAATAACTCAAAAATAATATTTTATTGATGAGTTATAATATATAAATTATAATAACTCATGTATTAACATATATGAGTTATAATAATTTATAAATATATTTTATTTCTAAGAAAAACTATGCTATCAAAGCAGAATTTTAAAGTGATTTTTGAGCAAACTTGCAAGGATAATGAAAATCCCATAGAGAGAATTTTAAAATGTTGCTTTGAACTTTGAGGCCTGATTAGAGGTAGGGTCTCATTGCCTTTCTTTTTAAAGATGAAGCCTGGGCTGGGGATGTGGCTCAAGTGGTAGCGCGCTCGCCTGGCGTGCGTGCAGCCCGGGTTCGATCCTCAGCACCACATACAAACAAAGATGTTGTGTCTGCCTAAAAACTAAAATAAATAAATAAATAAAGATGAAGCCTGGTATTTGGACCATGCTTTTGATATATTTGAATGTGACTCTTGGATGTTAATGCACTGTTACATCATTTGGCAAATGTTTCTATAAAGTATGCTTTGCTAAAACCTCACAGTACTGTTAAGGTACAGATTTCCATACTGTGAACCTGTCTCTCTACATATATAGTCTGAGGGGGAAATTATGAACGTATGTAAGTCTGTGTAACACTTTGATATTATTTTTCATGTTCACCAAGTAGTAAGTTCATGTATGTCCTTCAACTGGACTCAGTCACCTTGAGTTGGCTTGTTTGTCAAGCTTGGTTTACTGATTCATTGACAAAAAACAGTCTTGGGCTGGGGATGTGGCTCAAGCGGTAGCACGCTCGCCTGGCATGCGAGCGGCCTGGGTTCGATCCTCAGCACTACATACAAACAAAGATGTTGTGTCCGCTGAAAACTAAAATAAAATAAATATTAAAAATTCTCTCTCTCTCTCTCTCTCTCTCTCTCTCTCTCTTTAAAAAAAGAAAAAGAAACAGTCTTGTCAATGTGGCACTGTTCTTGGTGTGTAATATTTGTGTATGGTGTTCTCCCTCTGCCCGAGAGGAGTATAGCACAGATGCTGGTCTTAAATTTCTATAGACAATGGTAATAAAAATCTTAATATGTTAAAAGGCTGAAAAAAATTAAAATAATAAAAACAATAATAGTTGAGTTATAGCTCAGTGGTACAGCACTTGCCTAGCAAGTATGAAGCCCTGGGTTCAATCCCAAGTACTGGGCAGGGATTGGGGGAATGGAAGGAAAAGAATCTTTGCTATAGTTTAATAGAAGTTGTTCATGGTGTAGAGGGACAGAATGATTCTTCTCTTTCAAATGATTGTTGAAATTAAGGAAACAGAGACGTGGATGTCAAACACTAGGACTAGGTTCCGCATCCTCTCTCCTCTCCATTGCAGAAATGACCTCCTAGAGATACCATTGTTTCTCCGAGCTTTCAGTTTCTTCACCTGAAAAATGGTCACTCATGTTGGTGACATGGAAAGTTTGGTCCCAGTGCCTGAAGTAAAGCCAATATTGAGGAGGTTTTGAGAATAATGAAAAAGTTTTATTGCTTTGTTAACAAAGGAGATACAGTGGATTCCTGTCCCAGAGGCTGTGATTCTAACTGCCAGGGGGAGCAACTGGCTTTTAAAAAGGGAATACAAAGACCCTATCAGCACTCGTAATTTATTTGTAGCCTCAAGAGAGAGCTACTTCTCTGACCCACTTGTACCAGCCCCGAAGTCTGGAGCCTTCATTCCTGTGGTCATTGAGCTGAAGAACAAATAACTCTGCCTAGGACAGGAAGAAGGTTAATTTTGCTTCCTTCCCTCATGATTAAAGAAGGGGAGAGGGAGAAGAGGAAGGGAAAAAAATTTACCACCTTTTAAATAAGCTACGAATGGCAAAGCAGCAAAGGTTGTGTTCAAGGCATGGAGTGGCCCCATTACGTCAGCAGCTGTTTAGGGGTTGGGTGAGCAATGACATATACGTGGAGTCCATGGAGTAAGAGGTCACCAGAGGAAGCTGTTTTGCCTCTTCACTCTTGAGTCCCTGGTCATGCGGCCTCCAAGGTGGAGTGGGACTGCAGCTAATCTGGCTGTGGGAGACAGCAGAGGCCAAGACCAGGTCCCCAGTCAGGGGATCCTTGGAAGTTTCTATCATTGGATCCCTTCCTCTATCCTCCAGCTTTTCTCCTTTTCCTTTTTGCCCTTAAATGAAAAGAACTTCAATTTCTTTTGTGATTAAAATATTTACATGCCACCAAAAAAACAAGGAGAAAAAAATATATATCTGCCTTTATATTATGTAGATAATCACCTTTGATATTTTTGACTCCATTTTTCATTTGACAGTTTATTGTGCACCAGATCCCAGGTTGATGAATTTAGGTGGATGTCATTCATCATCATGTGAACTATGGACAAAATAGCCCAGACTGGGAACCAGCAGCCAGGGTCCAAATTCTTTCTCCTGTCTCCCCAGCTGTGTGATCTCAAGCAAGTCCCTTTAGCTCTCTGCACCCATTTCCTCATCTATAAAATGGGAATGCTAACAGCTTCTACCTCATGGGGGTTTGTGGTGACCAGGTGAGTTATTAACCAGCACACAGATGACAACCACTCTCTATTAGCTATACTTGGGAGCTATTGTGGTATGAATGGATCATGGTTCTGTTAAACCAACCCCTAATTATGGGCACTTTTTACTATTGCATACAATCTGTATCTGTACCATTGCCCAATTATTGCCTCATGTCAAATGGCTAGCCGTGTGCTTACTTGAAAGGTGACGCCCTTTCTACATTTTGTTTCCCAGAAGTATGTAC